CTTTTGCAGGTACTCGTGGAGATGCAATGTTGATTTTCAGTGTTTATACAACAGTGAACATGGAGGAATTCACCCAACATGCTCGAGTGAACTGCCTGGAATCCATGCTGGCACTTTTGCATCTAAGAAGGGCACCCACCAGTATTTATCCACCATCAAAACTTCTGTTACTCTCTCTGGAGTAAGGCTAAGCTCAATCTAGCGTGGTTGATGGGGTACACACTTTCCTGTGTGGCCAGTAGCACACGGAGGCTCAGCGGGTGGTTGGGAAGAGACCAGCTTGCTTTGAATTAATAAAATGTTCCTCTTAGAGGCTGGCTCCTTGTTGCAGGCTAGTACAAATCTCTCTTGACAGCGCTTATCAATTATTTGGGCTCCTCTTCTGAAGGAACAGCTCTGTGCTGGTGAAGGATACGGTAGCAGACAGTGGGATTTGCAAACAGCATTTTCGGCCGTGCAGATTTGTTCATTCCTGTCATTACCTGTAAATGTTTTGGAACAGCCAAGAGAAGGTGGCAGAACCAGCCACCACCCCTCCCACTTTCTGGGATTCTTTTTTGGGAGGGAGGGGTTATTAGTTGTTGGTTTTTTTAATTAAAAAAATGTGAAATTCAAAGGGCCAAGCCATATTCTGGGAGATTGCAAATGCATAAATGTTTCCACTTTTAAACATTTTATTATAGATGTGGTTAAAAATAGAATTCTTTCTCCGATCCCCTTTGCAAACTGAATTTATTGCATTCCTTATCTTTGCTATCTGGCTTCCTTCGCTGGAAACATCTAAATTTGCATGAGAAATTAAGAGAGCAAATTTAACAGAAGTCAGTGGTGGTATAGTAGTTCGTGTTAGACTAGGACCTGGGAGACCAGGGTTCAAATCCCCCCACTTGGCCATGAACCTTACTGAGTGACTGTGGAGCCAGTCACTATGCTTCTCAACCTGGCCTACTAAGGACTCCAAGGGTTGCTTAATTTTTGTCTGTTTGTATGTATTAACACCCTGCCCACAGCTTTGGAAGCATTTGGACCAAAAAGCAGTATCCAAATGAGCTATGCCATATCATACAGAAACATAGAATTATAGAGTAGGAAGGGACACCCAAAAGTCATCTAGTCCAACCCTCTACAATGCAGAATGCCAGGTAAAGATGGCTATCTAACCTCTGTTTCAACACCTCCAGTGAAGGAGAGTCCACCACTTTCTGAGGGAGTCCATCCCATGGTCAGACAGCCCTTGCTGTCAGAAAGGTCCTCCTAGGCTGGATCTAGACACATCAAAAAAGCATTTCAGTTAAACGTGTTGTAAACTTTATAAAGGGAAATCACATTGATGAAAGTCGGGACTCCACAGCGCCATCTTGTGTCACAGTGTTATAATGCATATAAAGCGCTTTTTCTTTACAACTGTAGCTGAGTCCCTAATATTTAGTTGGAACCTCCTTTCTTGCAATTTGAATCAAAGGATTTTTTTCCTTTCAAATCCCCTTCTATTTAAAGCTCCTTTTCAAAAAGAGCAGCAGTTAAAAATGAGTTACATGAGTTTTCCTTCCAGAGAACATGTCCTCCATACCCAGGAGAGGCCCAGTTTCACCATGTTAACATACCAATCAATTTATGTTGTAGTTTACTTGGCAAGTCACTTTAATTAACACACCGTTAATATTATTTGAGATGTATTGTCACATGAGTCAGCAATATTCCGGCTCCCCCACCCCTGCACACACACACACACCCTCCCAACACAAATGTCCAAAAGTGGTAATTGGAGACCAGTGCAGACTGATTGCTGTTGATTTAGTTGTAAAGTGGAGTAGTTATGGAAAGTGATTTATGAAGCTGTAAAAAGAAAGGTTTTAAAATGATTTTATAGGGTTTGGTGGAGAGAGTGAGGATTTGCTTGATACAGAAAAGTTTGGCACAGCATGCTTTGAAAATCCCACAGACAAATTAGCCTCTACAGACAACAGGGCTTGTGGAACACACACACACACACACACACACACACACACACACACACACACGGACCTATATAATGCCATGGGGGGAAAGGGACCTACATTTTGATGGCCCTGAAGTTTGAACTGTTATGGGCGCCCTTTTGCAACCAGCAATGAGGTCTGAGTAACCACTGCTACCTTCATCAATGGGGCTTTTCCATGTCGGCTCACAAAAAAACTAGTAGTTTTTTTTAATTTAAGTTCAATTAAAATTGCTGTACTGAATTATCTCACATGTCACAGTGACTGGTGTGAATAAATTTTCCTGTGCCTTACAATTTTCACGTTACCGTGACATTCCACTTTTACAACATCTCTGCCACTAACTCTCAAACTTTAGGATTGTTGAAATATATCAACAACAAAAATTAATCAATATGTGTCATGCAATTTCGCATTGGGTTTATTGGACCCATTTTTTAAAAAAGAAATCTGAACTAAAGTCACTTTTGGGGCCCCTCCACGATTAAGGGGCTGAAGCTTAAGCTTCATTAGTGTCATAGCAGATCTGTTCCTGCATTAACATATACACCATATAATAATATGACATATAATACATCCTGGGACTGATGAGCTGCAACCAAGGAGTTTGCAGAAGTCATTTCAGAGCCTCAGTCTATAATCTTTGAGAATTATTGGAGAACAGGTGTAGTCCCTGCAGACTGGAGGCAGGAAAATGTTGTCTCCATCTTCAGAAGCGGAATGGAGGAGGAGACCCAGATAACAGCTTGACATTGATCCCAGGAAAGGTATCAGTGCTATTCTAGACTGTATCTATTGAAGTCTAGTGTCCCAATTAAGAGAAGGTACTGCACTACTCTATTCTGCACATGTGGAGACTCCACTGGAAGGTGGCGGACTCTTCACTGGAGGTTTTTAAGCAGAAGCTGGATGGCCATCTGTCATGGATACTTTAGTTGAGGTTGAACCGATTGTTGGGATATTCCGTTCCACCTTAAGAACAGATGTGTAGAATTGTTGTGTGTCACATGTCTGTTAACACTCCAGCACTGCTTGCTGGGAACTTCCGTTTGTGTATAGCTTTTGCTTATGTTGTTCTTGCTTTGGACACGAAGGGGATCAGACATGTTTTCCTTTTGTCCTGCTGTATGCTGAATAAACTGCTTGTAAATATGTTCACACAACTCCTCCACTTCTGTTGCGTAGCTTTTACTCTGCTGAATAGCGTGCCCTAGCTTCTCAAGCTCAGGTCGCAGATGCTGCACCAAGGACTGGAGATCGCCCGGCACACTGGCTGGTGGGCTGGAGCCAGCTGGGGGCCAGCCAAATGCCCCCATTTCCTTGGTCGCATGTCAAGACGGATGACGCTCCGAGTTCCTTCCAACTCCACAATTCTATGATTCTACATAACTTATGGAAAAAACGTGACTGCATTTGGTATACAGTGAATAGTTCTGGTTGCTTTACTTCAAAAATGATATTGTAGAGTTGGGGAAGATTCAGAAAAGGGCAACCTAAATGATGAAGGGTACAAAATACCTCCTCTGTGACGAAAGGTTACAGCATTTGGGACATTTTGGTTTAGAGAAAAGTAAAGAAGTAAGGAAGTGACACAATGGAAGTTTATAAAATTATTTGTGACATGGAGAAAGTGGATAAAGAAAAGTCCCCCCCCCCCCTTCCAAAACTAGAACTTGTGGACATCCAAAGAAGTTGAATGTTTGAAGTTTCAGGGCAGATAAAATGAAGGACTTATTCATGCACCACATAGTTAAACTATGGCTCTTGCTCCCCCAGGAGGCAGTGATGGCCACCAACGTGGATGGCTTTAAAAGAGGATGAGACAAATCCATTGAAGCGATGGTCATGGATGGCTACTAGCCACAATGACTATGCTCTGCTTCCACAGTTGGAGGCAGAAATAATACTAGTCGGAGGCTTCTGAATACTAGTTGCTGAAAACCACAGGAGGAGAGAGTTCTGCTCTTGTGCTTGCATCCTGCTTGCATCCAGTTTCCCACAGGGAACTGTTCAGCCACTGTGAGGACAGGATGCTGGACTGGATGGGCCATTGGCCTGATCCAGCGGGTCCTTCTTATGTTTTTTATCTTCCTTCTTCTGCTCCGGGTTATTCAGCCTGTAGGTTCAGCTCATTCCGCATAAAGATCTTGCAACTATTCAGAGAAGCTTGCCCAAAAGCGAAACTCTGGAAAACTGCAATTCTGATGCGCTTGAGGATTACCCTGCACAGTAAGCAATTTGTTGTGATTCAGAGGCAAATATCAACTGTCCTTTTCAAGGTTTTTTCTATCCTCGGATGGAAACTAGTTTGCAAAGAAATGTCTCTGATTACATGTATATCTGGGGTTCTTTGTTGGTGCATTGCTGGGAAAATTTGAATTCCCAAAATAATTTGTTATTTCACTCTCTCTCAATTCTGCTTTTTGAAATCCCTCGAGGGCAGCAAGCAACACTCTTTTTTCCCCTCTTTCTTAATCAGCAGGACATGGAAATCTGCTGATGTGAGCAGCTGCCAGTCAGAGCGTGTCCTTTTTCTTTGCAAACCATGAACCTTGTATCCTTAATTAGGACTCCCTGATGGGCTGTGAAATGTACTGGGCTGGAGTTCACACTGTAGGTTTCTTTGCTTGTATACACAATTGCATGTTTCCATGGAATCCTTGAGTCACTGAGCACTTGCAAGGCCATCTAGCCCATCCCCTGCTTGATGCAAGAAATCCAAATACATAAGATCCCCAACAGATATCTGTCCTGCCCCTGATGCACTCCACATGGCAACCCTAGCCTGCCTTTCCCGAAATTAGTGTGCATGGGGTGGGGATGGAGAGGGCAAAACAATATTTAGATCAGAAGAATAAATACTGTGGGGAAGGAAAGCAAGAAACACACAGCACAGGTCCTTTCCTGCAACATTCTCCTTGTCCCCACAAAGCTGGGTGACTGTTCAGAAGGAGGTGGGTATACACAACTGTTCAAGGGAGTGCATTCCATGGTCAAACAGTTCTTACTGTCAGAAAGTTCTTCCTGATGTTTAGTCGGAATCTCCTTTCTTGTAACTTGAATCCATTGGTTCGAGTCCTGCCCTCCAGAACAGAAGGAAGCAAGCCTGCTCCATCTTCCAAGTGACAACCCTTAAGATATTTAAAGATGGCTATCATATCTTCTCTCTGTTCCCTCTTCTCCAAGCTAAACATACCTAGCTCCTTCAACCGCTCCTCATAAGGCCTGGCCTCTGGGGGAGGGCGGGAGACAGCTGCTGCTTCTGCTGACCAGAGCCCAGCAAGGTCTTATGGGGGGGATCCTTCAGAGTTACATTCCCCCCCCTCACCTAATGGCTGTAAGTTTCCTTTTGTGGCATCTGAGTGGTCACTGTGAGAATGGGATTCTGGACTAGATGGGCCATTGGCCTGATCTAGCAAGGCTCTTCTTAGGTTCTCATCTCTCCAGCCACTTGGGTGCCATCTCTTCCACTGAAAACCTATGTCACAAGGCCCATTGAATCAAGGGACCCCCACAACTCTAGCAAAAGCCAGCTCTACTATCATTAAAGGTAAAGGGACCCCTGACCATTAGGTCCAGTCGTAGCCGACTCTGGGGTTGCGGCGCTCATCTTGCTCTACTGGCCAAGGGAGCCGGCGTACAGTTTCCGGGTCACGTGGCCAGCATGACTAAGCAGCTTCTGGAGAACCAGAGCAGCACATGGAAATGCCATTTACCTTCCCACTGAAGTGGTACCTATTTATCTACTTGCACTTTGACGTGCTTTCGAACTGCTAGGTTGGCAGGAGCAGGGACCAAGCAACAGGAGCTCACCCCATTGCGGAGATTCGAACCGCCGACCTTCTGATCGGCAAGTCCTAGACTCTGTGGTTTAACCCACAGCGCCACCCGCGTCCCATGGCTACTATCATTAGCCATGTGCAAATGTTAAGTGACGGTCTTCCATAGAGTCTCTGGCTATCCAAGCAGACATAATCCCACTAAGAGCATCTTTTCTCTCGCACAAGCAGAAATCGTGCCCCCTCCTTCCCCCCCCCCAAAGTAAGAGGGTTAGCCAATCAGCTCAGAGCGCTGAGGTGGAGAGAGAAAATGTCTGCCTGATCCATACATCAAGCAGGCAAAGATGGCAGGGGGCACAAAGAATGAATTGAGCTCCCCTCTTCATACCGGCAACACTGCCAGCCTTTGTTTCTCTGCCAGTTTCACCCCCTCAAGTATTTATTCCCCACTGCCCTCATTCTTCACTCGCCTAAAAATGGGAGACCTGCTCCCCAGCCCTTGGAAGTTGATTTAATGCTACTAAATAGGAATATCAAAGTTCCAGCATGGGCCTGGCTTTAATTAAAATGACAAAGGGAAAGGGATCTACAGGGGTGATTTACTGGAGTAGGGGGCAGCAGTGGGGAGGGGAGGGGAATGTTATATTTGCCTCCAGCTTTTTTAATTAAAAAGAAAGCATGCCAGGCATCTCAGGTGTGAGAAGCTGTTGGGGGAGGATGGGAGAATGGGAGACAGGGATGCTTTCAGATTGAATCATGGTGGGGAAATATAAAGAAAGGCCCCCCCCCCCCCCCGTACATGATTGTTAAATCTCCCTGTCTGTTGCTCCGCCATCACAATCCAGCAGCCCAAAGCAGAGAAGTTGTCCATGTCCCGTCCCCCCCAAAAAAAGTAAGGATGGTGAACAATGGACAGACGTGGCTGTAGATGCCCTGGGGAATCTCTGGTGAAAATGGGTTCATTGGGGGTTATTCATAACGGCCAGAGAATGTACAAAATTGATTTAAGATACGCACATTCCCCAGGGATTACTGGAGAATATGCATACTTGCATTTGTATTGCATCTGTTTTATTTATATCCCGTCTTTTTCTCCAGGGATCTTATAGTGATATACATGCTTCTTCTCCTCTTCATTCAATCCCTGAAACATCAACCCTGTGAGTTAAGTTAGACTAAATGGCAACGCCTGGCCCAGGATCAACCAGGGAGCTTCATGGTCAAGTGGGGATTTGAACCCTGGTTTCCCAGGCCTTAGTCGGACACTCTAACCACTGCAGTACACTGGTTCTCATGGCTGGAGAGTGTACAAAGTTCAGCTTATATATGCACATTTCCCAAGCCCTATTGGAGATTAGACTGGGAAATTATGGAAGGATTATGTGCACTTTAACCACTCAATTTACATTCCCCTTAACACACACATGCCAACCTGGGGCCCTCCCTGATGGATGCTCCAAACTACAAAGAGCAGAGGAGCAAGCCTCTCAGGCACCTGGGGCGGAGCGCCCAGGGGCGGGATGAACCACCCATAGGGGTGGGGCGGGGCAGGGTGCACAGCACCCATAGGGATGGGGCGCGCGGTGCCCATAGGGAGGGACACGACAGACAGCACCCATAGGGATGGCATGGGATGGGGCGTGTGGCACCCATAGGGATGGCACGGGATGAACAGCGCCCATAGGGACGGGGCATGCCATCCGCCCTACAGTTGGGGGGGGAGGCAGCAGGTGGACAGCATGGAGCCTGCAGGCACCGGAGACACATAGCTCAGGCACGCTGCAGGCCCCGCAATGAGTGCCGTCCACCATCTTGTCACCCCCCCTCAGTGGGGACACCCGGGGTGGACCGCACCTACACACACACCCCTCCTTACGCCCCTGACTACAACTCCCATCAGCCCATGTGGCTGCATGATGCTAAGGCTAATGGGAGCTGTAATACAACAACATCCAGAGTGTGCGAGGATGGTGAAAAGTGCTTTATCACTTGGCTAGCATTCTAACCTTGGAAAACTTACAAAGCTGTTGTCATGTGTGGGTGGCTAGAGCTCTAGACCCTGTATAAACACAGGAGGGCTGGAGGTACTTTCCTGCTATATGACACAATTCTCTCCAACCTCACCTCACCCCACCCTCCAGCCCTGCTTTTGTTTTTTGAAGTAGCAACTCATGTTCAAGGCCAGCTTGTGTTCAACCTTGCAGAAGAAGCAAATTAGTGGATGAGGAGTTTGCAAGCCCCTGGGAGCCCTTTGCACCATCCTGCAGTCTCTCGCTATGTCTCTTGCTCCTGTCCTGATGTTTCTGCTTCCAGCCTATGAACTGCATCTCCCAGGTCACAAGGGGGTTTGCTTTCTTCCCCCAAAAAGCTTCTCTGCCATTCATTTATTGCTTCATGTCTTTGCATCCAGCCTTTCTCCCAAGCTGGAATTCAGGGTGGCTTCTAGTATTTTAAAACTGTCGTTATGAAATACAAAGTAATAGAGCCCTAAAAACTGTAGAGTTGGAAGGGACCCCGAGGGTCATCCAGTCCCTACTCCCTTGTAATGCAGGGAATCGCAGCCGATAAAAGCAAACAGTTACATCAGATACATTTTAAAGATACATCAGAACAAGCAAATGAGATCCAGTTCGCCCTGAAAGCAGTGCAGTGGATCAGCATCGCCTGGAACCTAAGGGCAATTCCACACTTCTGCCTCCCTGTGCTTCCTAGGCATGGGTCCAAGAAATTTTCTGTTTGCTACTTTCCCTGGGAAAAATCCATTGAATCAGAACGAATGTCAATCCTCAGAAAACCCAACTGGCACTTGTTCTGAGTCAGTGGTAAAGGAGAGGTTTTCCTAGGGAAAGCAATGGAACCTGTGGAAGTGTTGGACGAGCCCTTTGTTTCCAAAGGTCTGTTGGAACAGGGGTTAGGGGTTCAGGAACACACATTGCAACAAAGGGAGGTCTTAGCCTTTCAGATGCTGCTTGGTTGTGAAAAGAAAAGGATATCCGAAAAGAACGAAACAATAGAATTAATCGTAAAAACAACTGAAGCTTTTTAAAAAAAAGAATTAAAAGCAGCAATGAAGGAAAAAACACATTGGCATTCTAGATATATGGGCAGGCTTGCCTAAACAAAACTGTTTTCAGATGAGAAGAGTACAGTGGAGGTGCTCATCTGATATCAATAGGCAGGGAGTTACAAAATGCATAGGTGTTACTACACCAAAAATATCTATTTTTACAAATGCAAAATGCATATTGTGTGGCACCTTTAACACTAACACACACAGAGAGAGAGGAGCAGGGAGGACTGGTAGCCTGTGATGTTATTTACTCATATTCCAGTAGTTTATTGCTGCTTCAAGCTACAGACAGATGATCTCAATCCTAAAATCATAGAATTGTAGAGCTGCAAGAGACCACAAGGGTCATCTAGCCTAATTCCCTGCAATGCAGGAATCTTTTGCCCAGCATGGGGCTTGAACACATTATCCTCATGCTCTACCAGCTGAACCCTTTGCAGACAACCAGATTAAAAGCAGTAAGAGAACTTTCTGTGCTTTGTCTCTCCAAAGAGCTCAAGGTGCCGTGCATAGTTCTTCATATCCCATTCATCCTCACAACAACCCTGTGAGGTAGATTATTTATCTCTCTCTGTGTGTGTGTGTGTATACACACATACATAGACACACACACATACATGCATACAGAGAGAGAGAGAGAGAGAGAGAGAGAGAGAGAGACAGACAGACAGACAGACAGACAGACAGAAACAGAGACAGAGAGAGGTTCTTTTAGACCTTACTAGAAAAAAGTAGATTGCTCTTGCTGTTCTTGATATTGGTCTGTGTGGCTGTGGGGAAGATATTCTGCTTGATTTACTGGTAGGCTGGCCTTGACAGGGACCAGATCCCCAGACATATTTTCTTTTAAACCCTGGGAGGTTGTCTGCTCTGCCTCACAAATGGAATTAAATAATTATTCTCTGTTCCTTGCCTCCCTCCAGGATGAGGCTTATTAAAGGCAAGAGCCGGATTGCAGACTGTCTACTATCTCCTCACAGCCTGTCTAGATTGGATTGTGTTCTTTTATCTCCATAATCCCCCAAGCGTTTTAATGCTGGGAAAGTAATGGCATCCTAAAGCCAAATTTAATTTAAGACTTTCCCTCGCTTTTCAGAGTTGGATTTTTTGCAGAGACAGCGATAAGTCTTGCTCACTGTCTGTATTTAAAATATCAATCATGTTTTGAAAGCGAGGGATCTTTGCGCGCGCGTACGCACACACACACACACACACACACACAGCAATCTGGGCTAAAGAGACAGCTGTATGGGTACGTGTTGTATTGAGATGTGATAAAAAGCAGGAAATTGCTCATATATAGAATTGTAGAATCGTAAAGGGACCCAAAGGGTCATCTAGCCCAACCCCCTGCAATGCATGATACTCAACTAAAACACCCTTGAAAGATGACCATCCAGTCTCCAAAAACATATGACAGCCCTTTATATATTCCAAGATGGCTATCCTGTCTCCTCTCAGTCTCAGTCTTTTCCAGGCTAAACATACCCAACTCCTTCAACCATTCCTCATAAGGCTCAGTGGGAGAGCGTCTGCTTTGCCTGCAGAAGGCCCCAGATCCAATCCCCAGGTAAATCTTGGGAAAGACTCATCTCTGGAGAGCTGCTGCTGGTCAATGAACATAAGAACTTAAGAAGAGGCTGCTGCATCAGGCTAAAGGGAGTCCCATCTAGTCCAGCATCCTGTTCTCACAGTGGCTAACGAGATGCCCTGATGAGAAACCCACAAGCAGGACCTGAACCCCAAAGTCCTCTCACCTCCGGCAGTTTCTAGCAACTGGCAGTCAGATGCATAACTGGTTTTGATGATGGAGGCCAGATACAGTGGTACTTCGGGTTGCATATGCTTCAGGTTACAGACGCTTCAGGTTACAGACTCCGTTAACCCAGAAGTAGTACCTCGGGTTAAGAACTTTACCTCAGGATGAGAACAGAAATTGTGCTCCGGCGGCATGGCGGCAGTGGGAGGCGCCATTAGCTAAAGTGGTGCTTCAGGTTAAGAATGGACCTTCGGAACAAATTAACTACTTAACCTGAGGTACCACTGTATAGCCGTTGTGGCTAGTAGCCATTGACAACCCTGTCCTCAATGTATTTGTCCAATCCTCTTTTAAAGGCATCCAAGTTGGTGGTCATCACTGCCTCCTGTGGCAGTGAGTTCTATAGTCTAACTGTGAAGAATGGTTTTCTTTCTTCTGCAGCATTTCTTCCTAGGGGAATTGCTCCACCACCATTTTTGTCAGTTTGGTTGCCCTTTCCTGGACCTTTCCCATCCCCGCTTAATCTTCTCTAAGTGTCTGAATAATGAGCAAGATGGGCCTAAGGCAGCTTCTTATAATATGAATGACCAAAAATTGGAAGGTTGGAAGGCATCCTGAAAAATCAAACACACATGAGGTTTTAATTTTAATTTTTTTTCAACCATTCTGCCAAGAAACATTCATGAAAAACTGTGAGCAGTTTTTGGCTCAGCCTGGACTGCATCAAATCTAAAAATATAATGCTATGTGTGAGATAATTACAGGCTATTGGACTTAGATCAATGTTAGCTTTTCAATGCAAAAACAGAGAGGCATTATGGGGGGGGGGGACAAGTGGGCAAGTTTGTTTAAGAACAGTTGCTCTGGCAAAGGCCCTTGTTCATACAATTGAAAGAGAACCCTAAGGTCCTCTAGTCCAACCCCTGCAATGCAGGATTAACATTTAAATAATCCCTGATAGCCACCCAACCTCTATTCAACTAAAGCATCCTTGACAGGTGACCATCTAGACTCTGCTCAAAAACTTCCAATGAGACACACCTTTCCATAATAGGTGGGATATAAATATTTTAATAAAATATATGTTATCCAGACTGTCATTTTTTTAAAACCAACCATTATCAACTGATGGCTTTTTAATTGATGTTTTTATTCCCCTCGTTGATATTTTACCTGGCGTATGTTGCCTTGCTGTAACTTTATGAAAGTGTAGATTACCAAATACCTCCATTGCATGGGGTTGGACTAGATGACTCTGTGGGTCCCTCCCAACTATAACATTCCACGATTCTATGAAATAAAATAAATAAAGGAATTACCACCACCCCCCAATTACAATTAAACCTGACCTTCATAAACCTTCTATCTGAGTGTGGGAGGTGCTCTTTCTTGCCAATATTCTTCAGCAAAACACTTTCTCCTGATTATGTCCCCCACCCTGAGCAGGACTGCATGCTGAGCCTTGCCCTGGAAGAGATGAGATTCTCATGCGTAACAACTCCATCTGGCTCTCTTCATGAGCGCAAACCCCGAAGAAGTGTCTCAACTCCCTTTAAAACTTCAGTTGGGATATTTTGTTTTGATGCACACACATGCACACACAGAAAGTAGTGTGTGTGTGTGTGTGTGTGTGTTGTTGTTTTTACTGCTCAATTATAATAAACAAAGTCATCTATCTGATTCTCAACCATTGTACCTCACTTTAAGGAGGTTGAGAGCCTAAGCAAATGAAGATTTTGTATTCTGCAAAAACTCTGCAACACTTCTGATAATTTTTTTTTTTTAGCATGAAGCTGGTCAATTATTTCCAGGTGTTACTTGATTTGGTTAAAACATGCACAAAAACATGAGAAGAGCCTGCTGCTGGATCAGGACAAAGGGGGCTCACCCAGTCCAGCTTCTACTCTCCCCAGTTGCCAACCAGGTGCCTATTCTGGGCCTGAGCACAACAACAGCTCTCCTCCCCTGCAGTTTCCAGCAACTGGTGTTCAGAAGCACTGCTGCCTCAAACCGTGGAGGCAAGTAGCCATCGATAGCCCTCTCCTACATGAATTTCTCCAATACTCTTTCAAAGCCACTTAGATTGGTGGCCATCACTGCTTCCTGGGCAATGAGTTCCATAGTTTACCTAACAGGTCAAAAACTAGATGGACATCCAAATCATTGTTGCATCTCATTATATAAAACACATTTCATTGTGCAATGTCTTGCAAACCCATTTTCCACCCCCGCTGCCCCAATAAATTCACTGGTGGTGATGATAGTACTAATTTTGGCCATTTATCCCTGCTTAACGTTAATACAGTGGTACCTCAGGTTACATACGCTTCAGGTTACATACGCTTCAGGTTACAGACTCTGCTAACCCAGAAATAGTGCTTCAGGTTAAGAACTTTGCTTCAGGATGAGAACAGAAATCGTGCTCCGGCGGCATGGCAGCAGCGGGAGGCCCCATTAGCTAAAGTGATGCTTCAGGTTAAGAACAGTTTCAGGTTAAATACGGACCTCCGGAACGAATTAAGTACTTAACCTGAGGTACCACTGTATCTCATAAACTATGGAACTTACTCCCACAAGTGGCAGTAATGCTCACCAGCTTGAACAGCTTTAAAAGAGGATTGGACAAATGAAGCTGTTGATGGCTACAAGCCATGGTGGCTTGGCTTTGCCTCCGCAGTCTAGAGGCAGCAATGCTTCTGAACACCAGTTGCTGAAATTGTAGGAGAGGAGGGGACTCTTGGGTTCAGGTCCTGCTTGAAGACTTTCCATTGGAGCATCTGGTTGGCCAGTGTGAGAGCAGGATGGTTGGCTAGATGGGCTGCATTTGGCCTGATCCGGTGGGCCAAATGGACTTCCTATTGGGGCATCTGCTTGGCCACTGTGAGAAAAGGTTGCTTGACTAGATGAGCCATGGGTCTGATCCAAGAGGGCTTTTCTTATGCTTTTGCATTACAAATTGGCTAAAACATACAAAACTCTTGTCAGCGCATTGCTGAACAGAAACACACATCCACCAGAATTTGCCTCCTCCCTTGCAACCTGCTCTGTTTCAATCCACTGCGTAGCACAAAAGCCCAGTGGAAGTATTTATTTCCAGACGGTCTCTCTTCCTACACTAACGGAAGTAAAATTAGACTTCGGGGAACAGATTGCTGGAGGGGCGGCAGACTGAGGCTGCCAAATCACTCTCCAAGCGCGCCATCTCAGGCTTTGTAGCAAAATGACTGTCATTGTCACCATGAATTAAAACAAACTCAACTGTTGATGGATGGTTTCTTAAGAATAGCTGAGGGAGAGAGGGCGGGTCTGATGGATGGATGAACAGTGCCGTTCTAATTCATGCACTCCAAGGAAATTTTAATTAACGCAAACAGGAACCATTTTGTATTGATACAGCAAGCAGCAGTGGTTAAGAACATATGAATGCAAATCCCTGCTGGGTCATCCCAAAAGGAGCCCATCTAGTCCAGAATCCTGTTCTCACAGTGGACCACCAGCTGCCCTAACGGGAAGCCAACAAGCAGGACCTGAGCACAAAAGCAGCACCCTCTCTTCCTTCTTTCCATCGTTATTCAGAATCATGACTGCCTCTCCAACTTAAAATAAAGCAAGATGCTAGTCCTCATAGTTCCAAACAAATGGACTGGATTACATAGGCACATAAGAAGCTGCCTTAGACTGACTGAGAGAATTGGGCCCATCTAGTTCAGCGATGCCTACACTGACTGGCAGAGGTTCTCTGGGGTTTCAGGCAGAGAGTCTTTTCACAGCCATATCTGAGACACCATTGGGGATTGAACCTGGGGCATTCTGCATGCAAAGCAGATGCTCCGCCTCTGAGCTACAGCCCCCTCCATGTTGTTATTATAGAAGCACTTGTTCTAAACCAAACAGTGCTTGGATTGACTTGTTTATTACATTTCTCTGTTACAAGGCAGCAGATGCTACATAAAAGAAAATTAAAAATCCTGCCATGTTAACATATAGTGGGAGTGGAATTGTAGGTGCAGATTAAATACAACAAACCTCCCTAGCCCCCTCTTCTCACAGTGGCCAGCCTGATGCCCAATGGCAGGACCTGAGGACAAGAACACTCTCCTCTCCTGCAGTTTCCACCAGCTGATATCTAATTGTAGAGGCAGAAAACAGCCATCGTGGTTAGTAGTCATAGAAAACCTCCTCCTCCTCCTCCTCCTCCTCCTCTTCCTCCATGGATTTGTCCAATTCTCTTTTAAAGCCTCCAAGTTGGTAGCCCTCACTGTTTAACTACATGCTGTGCAAAGGACTTTCCTTTATCCATCCTGAATCTTCCTACCCCCAGCTTCATTGCATGTCCCCAAGTTGGGGGGGGGCACTTTTCTGTATTGACTTTCTTTGTGCCATGCATAATTTTATAAACTTCCATCATGTTACCTCTTACTCACTTTTTCTCTAAACTAAGAAATCCCAAATGCTGCAAACTTTCATCATAGGGCTGTCACTTCTTTGATCTTTTGGGTTGCCCTTTTTCTCAACCTTTTCCAGCTCTACAGGGACCCCTGACTGTTAGGTCCAGTCGCGGACAACTCTGGGGTTGCGGCACTCATCTCGCTTTACTGGCCAAGGGAGCCGGCGTTTGTCCACAGACAGCCGGGTCATGTGGCCAGCATGACTAAGCCACTTCTGGAGAACCAGAGCAGTGCACGGAAACGCCGTTTACCTTCCCACTGGAGCGGTACCTATTTATCTACTTGCACTTTGATGTGCTTTCAAACTGCTAGGTTGGCAGGAGCAGGGACCAAGAAACGGGAGCTCACGCCATCACGGGAATTTGAACCGTCAACCTTCTGATTGGCAAGCCCTAGGCTCTGTGGTTTAGACCACAGTGCCACCCATGTCTACAATATCCTTTCTCAGCCAGGTGAGTGACCTTCACAGGCCAGTCTGTAGACAGATAGAAAGATAGATAATTAGATTTATTTACTTTTACTTACTTACTTACTTACTTACTTACTTACTTACTTACTTATTTCAACAGATTTATACACCACTTGACTGTCAAAAAACCCTCACCCAAACCACAAAGCAGTTTACAAAGAGAATGAAGCAATTTGTAACTCATGTAAAATATTTGCCCCTAACAAGATACATTACCCAATAAGCCATCAATTGCCTTTAGGAAGAGACTCTAGGAAGATACTGGTTGCAGCATTAGCTGGTAGAGAAGGTGTCCAAGTCGACACTTACCTTTCAGAGCCAGAGGTTGGAAAATAAACAACAGGATGGGAAATTCACTTTCATGCCTAGCTTTGAAATTCCCAGTATTATTATTATGGTGGTGTTGTTCCTGGAAATAGTAAATGGTATCAAATCTTTGCTGTGATCTAGCAAAGTCAGTCTTTATGCTAGGCCCAAGGACTGAGGAACTATCAATTATTTTATTTTATCATAAAATTTGTACACTGTTTGATTGTGTTTTTTGGGGGGACACAACCTCAAAGGGGTTTACATAAAAAACAACAACACTAATGTTATTAGAATTTTAAAAATCAGCAATACACTACATACAGATTAAAATGTACATCAACATTCTACATGGGGTAAAAAGGTAAAGGTACCCCTGACTGTTAGCTCCAGTCGCGGACGACTCTGGGGTTGCGGCGCTCATCTCGTTCTATAGGCCAAGGGAGCCGGTGTTTGTCCGCAGACAGCTTCCGGGACATGTGGCCAGCATGACTAAGCCGCTTCTGGCGAACCAGAGCAGCGCACGGAAACACCGTTTACCTTCCCACTGGAGCGGTACCTATTTATCTACTTGCACTTTGACGTGCTTTCAAACTGCTAGGTTGGCAGGAGCTGGGACCGAGGAACGGGAGCTCATCCCATTGCGGGGATTCAAACCACCAACCTTCCGATCAGCAAGCCCTAGGCTCAGTGGTTTACACCACAGTGCCACCCGCGTCCCTTCTACAGGCAGTAAGGTAAAGGTAAAGGGACCCCTGACCATTAGGTCCAGTCATGACCGACTCTGGGGTTGCGGCACTCATCTCGCTTTATTAGCCGAGGGAGCCGGCGTACAGCTTCCGGGTCATGTGGCCAGCATGACTAAGCCGCTTCTGGCGAACCACAGCAGCGCACGGAAACGCTGTTTACCTTCCCGCCGGAGTGGTACCTATTTATCTACTTGCACTTTGACGTGCTTTCGAACTGCTAGGTTGGCAGGAGCAGGGACCGAGCAATGGGAGCTTACCCCGTCGCAGGGATTCGAACCGCTGACCTTCTGATCGACAAGCCCTAGGCTCTGTGGTTTAACCCACAGCACCGGGGTAGGCTTGCCTAAATTAAATGTTTGTAGTGGACTCTGAAAAGAGTACAATGAAGGGACCTGCCTGGTTTCAAGAGACAGAGTTCCAAAGTGCACAGGTGCTGCCACACTTAAAAAAACAACAGAGTTCTTGGAAATGTGGAATGGTTATTCTGTGCCAGTGGTTGAGTGAGTGCAGGTGGGGCAAGGCAACATTGCGAGTAAACTGGTCCCTGTATCTCGCAAGATTTGGCCCTTTTTCCCTACTGCAAAGCTCACCTATTTCAAGCACTATGTGCCATCAAACTTCTTCCTGGAAGATGCAAGTGGTGAGGAACAGGGCCCAGCTTCTCCAGACAATTAAAATCAGTGTGTGTCCCTTTAAGAGGGGGCTCCCCATCCCTCAGGCAGAGCATAAAGCTAATGCAATGAGGCAGTTGCCACGGTAACAGCACCAACATCCTTTTTTGAAAGGGGTGGGGAGAGAAGAAAGCAAAAGGGAGTCTTCTAGAGCAAATTGGCATCCAGCAGTAAAACCCACATCTGATGCCAGCACATATGTTAATCTGGCCGATGGGTAACATCTATTTAAGAGATGGCTCTTTCTTTTAAAAAAAAAAAAATAGTGCATTTGTGTTTCATGAGTGTGTCTGTGTGTGCCAGAATTATGCGTGTTTTAAACTGCTGCTCACACCAGGAGATTCTTCCCTCGATCCCCAGAGCCTGACTGCTTGCTAAATATTATTTTTTCCTATCCTCCTCCTCTTTCTCCATTGCTCTATGAAGCACGTTAAGAGTACCATTATTTATTGATTTATTTAAATTTATTATAATAATACCGCTCACTATAGAATATTAAATTATTTGATGTGGTTATTTATTTATCTATTTGGTTTTTTTAAAAAAATATTTGTACACTGCTGTGTCATAATAAAAGCATCAGAGTGGTTTACAGCAACAAAAACATAAAACCATACAATAAAAGCATTAAAAAGTTTAAAACAGACATCAATTAACCACTGTGGAAGGATGCACTCGTGTTTTGTTGGAAATAAATGCCATTCATAGAAAAGAAAAGATCACTTGTATCCATTCTATGTTTGCATCCGTGGTCAACACTGTTTCTCTTCTAGAAGAATCAAATATGAGGATGTCAAAGAATCATAGAATTGTATAACTGGAAAGGCACCCAAAGGTCACCTAGCTAAATAATCCCTGGCAGATGACCACCCAACTTCTTCTAAAAAGTCTCCAGTGAAGGAGAGTCCACCACCTTCTGAGGGAGTCCTTTCCACTGCCAAACAACCCTTGCCACCAGAAAGTTCTTCCAAATTATTCAGATTCTCTTCTCCTGTCATTTGAATTTCCTTTGTTGGTGGCTTTTAAAGAGAGGTTAGAATCTCACAGGGATTCCTTAGCTGTGCTTCCTGCATTGCAGGGGGCTGGACCCTTCTATGATTCCATGAGTCTGACATGGGGAAGGTGTGTTGTGGTTTGGGATAAATGTCCTCCTTGGCCAAATTGGGAGCCAGTGCCTAGAGGAAGCAGTGGTGCAGCTGCTCACCCTTCTATAGATACCTACTCTAGATTTCCAGAGATTATTCTTGGCAAGCTGTTAGAGCATTGCTGCCTATACATTATGTCTCTAAAGCACATTCTTTCCCTCAAAGAATTCTGGGTACTGTAGTTTGTGCCTCACGTAATTGTGATTTCCAGAAACCCTGAACAAACCACAGTGGTCACCATCTTGATAAATTGTGTCCTATTTTTATACAAGACAGCATGTGATTTTCTTCTGAATTTGTAAATATTTGTGTGTTTTTTAAGCACTCTGCTGCTGCCACTGCAGTTAAAGTCTATCATTAGATGGTGACCTGTTCAGGATTCTTTGGCTGTGATTCCTGCATTGCAGGACAGAATGACCCTTGTGGTCACTTCCAACTCTAAATATTCGATGATCCTATTATTATTATTATGTCCATATTGCAGTTGGAATGAACAAGCAAAAGGGGGAAGATGCTCTGAGTCAGGATCTCATTGGAAAATCCTACCACTGTGAGTTTCTGGGTGGGAAGAGGCAGCAACGTCAGCATTTGGGGAATCAGGGCTTTGGAATATAGGACGCAGCTCAGAGGTATATCTAGGGGTTGGTGAAACTGGTCTTCACCATGGGCACAGGCCCAGGGTCGTGCAAAAACCACTCCAGAAAACCACCTCCAGTTATCTGTGTAAGGTTGTGAGTTTAGACAAGAGCTGGGAGCTGAGCCGTAAGAGAAGTGCCAAGGTGATGTGAAGGTAGACCACTGGAGACTATGGCGTGTATAATGTATATTATTGTGGCAATGTGACACCTCTGTCATGGTGAGATCTTGCACCATGGCACAAAGATGCGTGAATTTTTTCGCCCTTCCTCCTTGCCACACAATTACTCCAGATGCTTCGAGAACTTGAGTCACATAAAATGTAGTCATTTCTAATGTGGCTATTGCAGTAAAGTGTGTGGTTTTTTTCCCTGTGGGGGTGCTGATACAGCTTGCCAAAGGCAAAAGGGACCCTAGGTACACCTCG